TCAAAAAGTAGACTCACATACTGATTGGGATGACCTGGTAATAGATTTATAGCAATTTCAATGTAGCTTGGTTATACAACATACATACAAACAGAACTGGCATGTGAAGGGTCAGTTACTACTTGTGTCAATTTTAAGCAAAGAAAGGAAACAACACTTATCACAGAGTCTCAGTTAGTGTTAGCAGGCCTGCTTTTCAGGAACTAACCCAATACGTTCAACCTGAGGTGGCTTTACAGTCCCCAGTGAGCAGCGTGAACTATCAAACAGGTAGATTAGCTCACTTTGGACCCTCAGGATCTGATGGCAAGGAGATAGCCTGAAATAAGGAAAAAATCTCTTTACCCCAAAACAACCAATGTCCTTTAAAGGTAGTGGAGAGTTTTCTTCATGCATTAAGGGGCCCAGTTAGTGCACAGTGAGAAGAAGGGTAAATTATGGTTTTCTGAAGAACAATGCAATAAAAGAAGGGAAGAACAGCCCTCTCCCTGAAAGCAGCAGTGGACTGGTGTCATGTTCCTTTAAAGCACTAGTCACTAGTGAATCTAAAGCAACCAGTGGTTGAGCTGGAAAAAGTGGTTGTTGGCACAGGACAAATCCTCTTTGGACTGCAGGACAATTGGCACAATAGGAAAAGGCCTCCTTAATAGAGTGAATTGATGGTGGTGGTGACACAGTGGTGTTTCAGCCTGTGGACTGACTGTCCTGCTATCAGTTCTGATGATGAGGCTGTGTTAATTTTGGTCAAACGATATCAACTGTAGGAACTAGGCTGTAACTTCTAAAAACTATGTGCAATGTCCATGACTGAGTGCAGGAGAATAGCAAAAGTGCAGCAGGTGTAAGTGTTCCCTGTTCTTGGCAATGCTTGGGACTCTCTCACTGAAGGGATGGTGTCTGGCGAGTCCTGGTGATCTTTCTCTCTCCTTTAATAGGGCCTCCACACACTCTCGGGCTCCACCTGCAGCATTCTGTCCACTCACCTGCTAGCAGATTAGCTTCCTTCACAGTGTGGCAAGGTCAGTGATCAGCAGGCTCTCCTTGCCTCCTTTCTCTCTTTCCTTCCACACCTGGCTCGGTCCTCCCGCAATCAGCGCACTCCTCTCTTAAGATCTTTCCCCTCTCACTTCCTGTCTCATCTCCTGGGCTTTCACATATATATATATCACTCTGCCCACATGCCAGCTCCTCTGGGAAATGTAGTTCTTTACTACACTGCTCCTTAATAAAGTCCTGCGGTTCAGCATACAAGTTCCATGGGGCTGCTCTATAGAGTGTGAATGCCACTGTTCTGCAGGACACTGTCATCTTGTGTTTGTTTTAACATCCTGCATCAACACTTGTAGCAGGGTGTTACACGCATATTATAAAAAGCTGTCCAACAGAAATGCAATGCTTACTTTTTTTAACTTAAAATCTGAATGAGGGCTGGGTTATACAGTGTTGTTTTCATTTATTTCTTAAACTCCCCTGAGCAACCGCCCTTTGCTAAGACCCAACAGAGCTCTAAATCTCTCTCCAAATTTGAGAAATAGCCTTGTGCTGAATGCTTGAAATAATCAGCTGCAGAGAAGTAATATCATTTTTGCATTTTCTTTGTAATAAGCATATCTAATATGCAAAACTGTTCTGCAGCACTTAAATCACAATGTGCGTAAAAGTTTGACTAGTTACAAACAAGATAAGTAGTTAAAAGTCAACAAATATGCAAGCAAAGAATATATATACAATTATTTAGGAGTGAAAGGTAATATGAGCATGAATTGAGTCGAGAAGCTTACCAAATGAAATCTAATAATGAAGATAAATTGTCAAAAACCATTCCCGTAGGCTCAAGTACAATGACTGGATATGAGTTCCCTACAATAATAATTTCAGCCTTTTCTGGATGTAGAGAGGAAAATTGCTTTACTTTTGTTTAGAAATATAGATTTTAAATAGGGAATATTGTACCAATGTTACTCCTAAGAAACTTTTGAAGCAAAATCTCTTAACTTTTCAGTGAAACCATCAAAAGGTAAATATAAAAGAGAAAAATGGTCTTAAACAATCAATGGACATCTTCAAATCATAGACTTGATCTATTCATTAGACTTGATCTATTATTTAAGCCATCTACTGTATTCTCTTCAGCAACATAATGGCTCTATGTGTAAACAAAACTGTGTTCTCCACAGCAACCAATCAATTCACAGCTGTGATTTTTTTAACAGGTTAGAAAATCCTATGATACATGGAACTCTGACATTTAGCAGCATTGAGATAGCCAGGACTACCCTCCCTATACAGCACATTTGTGAAACTTGAAATTAGTGAGTTAAAAGCAATCTCCAGTCCAAACGGAAAATTACTTAGTGAACGTGTGGTGCACTGGTGTAACTAAAACCCTCAGAGCCCTAGTGCAAGATACCATGAAGGGTCCCCCTGACCCCTGGCCAGGGCCCTTCTTTCCGACCCAGGTGGCAGAACACCAGGGTATGCTCGCAAGTGTACCCTTTGTTACCCTGGCAGTTCCACTACTGGTGTCAGTTTTTTATTTTTGTTATTTTATTTTTTACAATATTATTTTTGTATTATTTTTTACAAATTATTTTTAGGAGCCCCATTGGGGGGGGGGGGCTTTGGTGAAATATCAGAGGTCTAAACAGACCTCTGATGTTCCACCTTTGGGACAGAGAAAGGAGATTGAGGGCTGTGTCCTCAATCTCCTTCTCTGCATCCTCAGCCGCATAGACAGAATAGACAGGAACAGCTTTTTTTAGGAGCTTCCTGTCCATTCAAAAACTGAGGTATAGTAAACACAGTTTACTATGCCTCAGTTAGGAATGGACAGAGTCAGGGATCAATATTGACCACTGACTGTCCATTCAGAAAAGAAAGGGGCTGGTAAATGACACATTTACCAACCCCTTCCTCTGCCCTCCATCAGATCCCCACGGCAGCTGGCGGGAGAGGGGAGAGGGCACCCGGCATAGATGCAGGGGAAGGGGGGCGAGGAAAGAGCATAGGAGGGGCCTGAGAGCATGGGGGTTGAGGAGCAAGGGGGGCAGAGAGCATAGGGACCAGATGGCACTGGGAGCTGGAGAGCAGAGGGAAGCTGAGGAGAATGGGGTATTTTAGGGCGAGAGCATGGGACAAGAGAGGGGGGGCCGAAGGGTGGGGGTTAGGGTGGAGAGCATGGTGGGCAACAGAAAGAAGCTGGATAGGAGCGGTTGGGGTGGCTGCATATAGAGGTACTGATCTCTCCATTTTCCTCCTGCAGCCACTGAATGCCTGTGGGAGGGAGAGGAGGAGAAGCAGGCATTCAGTAGCTACAGGAGGAAAATTGAGAGATCAGTATCTCTATATGCACCTCTATATTAAGAAATGGACAGTTCAAGGATCTCTTGATACCAATCCAGGGTCAGGTAGACCAAGAAAGTTTGCAGCCACAACTGCCAGAAGAATTCTTCAGGATAGGAAGAAAACCCACAGGTAACATCAGGAGAAAAGCTCTGAAAAAAGATGGTGTGTTTTTTTTAACGAGCACAATACAATGATACTTGAACAAAAATGAGCTGCATTGCCGATTTAATAGGAAAAAAGGTCAGCCTCACACTGGAGGATAGATGAATATAGTGTGTATTTATTGATCCATGGGACACACAAAACGCCAGGACATGAATACAGGACCTGTTAACGCGTTTCACACGATCTCGTGTTTAATCATCGTGTCCTATGGATCTATAAATACACATCTATCCTCCAGTGTGTGGCTGACCCTTCTTCCTATTGCATCATGTGTGGTGGCAAGCCAGAGCCTGCAACTGTTGTGGATTGATCTGGATTGTTTGCCTGAGCGTTATACCTTTGTTCTTTGCATTGCCGATTTACCAGAAAAAAGCCATTACTGTGCCAATGCCACAAAAAATCCCAGAGTAGAGTGTCAAGGTGTTGTCAGGCATATTGTAACCAGGTTACTGCCACCATCCAATTATTATTTCGCCATTTTCTTGGACCATGAATGATTTAAATTTGGGTTGAATTCATGGTCAACTCGAAGCAAAAGCTTATCCCTAATTGTGAGCATTCATGTCTCATAGCTATTATGGTAAACCACCTAAAAGCACTTAGGATATCTGGTCAAATTTTCCCCTTGGTTTGCCAATAAAGGTAAAATCTGCATGGTGGGCATACTGTGGCCAAAGAGTGCTCATTGAATATTCTTGAGCAGGAAAAAAAGCTAACTTACAAAATTAATAATAAGCATGGTCAGGGTGAGCCAGGGGCGGACTGACAACTCATGGGGCCCCTGGGCAATAGGGGATCATGGGGCCCCTATGTCCTTGCCCACACTAAAAAAAAAAAGCATATAAAAAGGTACCAGGGGCATTTTATGGGGCCCCCTACTGACCACGGGATCTCGGGCAGTGCCTGAGTGCTCGAATGGTCAGTCCGCCCCTGGGGTGAGCATATACTGCATCTGCTGGTCAGTGAGCAATGACATACTGTATCTCTTACAGCAGTATTAAACCCAAAGCTTAAACTGTATTATATTGCAGCTTTCATTGGATATGGTGGTCGCATTAGTTTTTTTTCTTAAAATTTGTGTTAAACATGAATTCCAAATTCATAATTCGGCACTTATAGGAATTATATTATATTTATAGCAAGCTTTCAAAATATTTGTTTTTATGATTAATCATAATTAATATTAAAATGTGTGGTTTGCCTTGAACAAGTGATAATGTTGAATTCTTCAGTTATAGCTGAGCCAGAAAAATGTCAGATTCCAGCTAGTTAACTTAACTCCAAATACTCTGAGTATTTAGGACATTTCTGTAGATGGGCATAGCTGGTTAGAGGATCTCTGGTATAGGGTTAGATGTGAACCAAAATAGAATTAGTATGAAATAATATATATTCTAATAGTATCTGTGTGTATTTAATTTATGTTTTTTAAGTTGGTAATATGTGTTACATTAGAACATTTTTGGTTATACAACATTATTGAGATATTATGTTGTAAAGATAGATTCTTAGTTATACTATCCTTTAAACCAGTGTTTCTCAACTCCAGTCCTCATGGACCCCCAACAGGTCATGTTTTCAGGATTTCCCTCAGATGAAACAGCTGTGGTAATTACTAAGGCAGTGAAACTGATCAAATCACCTGTGCAAAATAATGGAAATCCTGAAAACATGACCTGTTGGGGGTCCATGAGGACTGGAGTTGAGAAACACTGCTTTAAACAGAGAAACTGGTCACATGAGTAGGCTGATGCAACATTGTCAACTTATGAAGCCACTACATGTGGGCTTGTCAATCAAAATACCATATATGTATTATTCCCTTCCTTCAATTAAATCAATCTACTAAGCAGAATGGTTTGCCATACAAGGTTCTGAGCTATGAGAATTATGACGTCTACATGTAGCATAAAAAGACATCCTAAGAGATGCAAAGGACACAACACATATATACACATGTACGTCTATTCACACACAGACATGCACAAGCAAAGCATGAAGACACTGTCATTCTTCACATTCTGACAAGCTGAAACATGTGCATTATCTAAGAGACCTAAGATCACGTCACTTCCTTCTTCTTGCTCAGACTCATGCTGATTGAACAGACAAGAAGCACATGGCAGGACAGCCATGACAATAAAGTTGACACATCTTTATAACTTCTGTTTTTATATTTTTATTTTACCTACACCGAACTGTTCATGATATGTTTTACATTGTTATTTTAAGCCATTGTGTGATAAAATAAAATCACACTTTATTTTTGTCTCTTTAATTATCTGAAATCACCTATAGACACTAAATAATTATTATATGTGTCTCAGATCTGGTCAGTAACACACCTCCTATATAGTTGAGACACCACTGTGGAGGAATGGGCCAGGACACAGCAGACAGCAGCATTGTCAGTCAGGGGGGATGGTGGGGGAGTGTTAAATGTATCAGCAGATTTGAATACAAAAAGCAAATTGTAGCCAAACTCCAACTCACACTTTATAATCAATTACAGCAAACATTTTTTTCCTTTTGGGAAAAAGCTTTTACATGAATAAATAAAAGCTGATAATTTCATTCACCCCAGCTCATGGTAAATGGATGGTCTTGTTCTGGAAATTTTATCGATAGGCAACTCCTATCCTCATATTGATTAGTGGTTCCAAATTAATATAATAAATAATACATTTAATACTGCTTTAATCCTATTTTTCTTGGAGTCAGCAATGGTGCTAGTATATATTCTGAACTAACATGCTTATTCTGTCATCAAGAAATTAGATGTTATTCAAAGTTTGTCTACTATTGCTGTTCTATGACAACCAAAACATACAAAATCTAGCTCTCACAGGCAGTTCTCTTATGCAGGTCATAGACGGGTCGAAAACCGTCTGTTTTTAAAAAAAAAAAAAAAAATTGGTCATTCAATAGGCCGATGTTACCACCAATAGTAGAAAAAAAAAAATCGGCCGATTTTCGTCCCGTCTACGGCCGGCATTTAATTACTTCTGTCCCTTGCAGAGAGCTCCGCTATTATATTTGACATGAAAAAGTATTGCGATTGCAACAATGTATCCATATGTATCCATTTTGGATACAGATGTTTTTATTCAGATACAAATAGATACATTGTTGCAACCACAATACTTTTTAATGTCAAATATAATAGCGGACTGAAATTCTTCTTCTTTTTCTTCTTCTTCTTTTTCTTCTTCTTGCAGGTCACGGCTCATGCGCAGATTTTTAAAACGATCGGCCGATTTGCCCATCATTGCCGGGAAAATCGGCTGATTTTTTGCCAGCTTTACCGATAAAAAAAGTGCCAAAACCCCATAAAACGGCTGACCAATTAACCCACTAACGGTGCGAAAATCGGCAGATTTTTTTTTTTCGGCCGATTTTCGACCCGTATATGGCCTGCATTACCCCTTTAGAACTTTCATATGAGCCACCACAAGTTTTCTTATCATTGTGGATTTCTGCACAGTTAGTTGTTAATTCATGTGTGTTTCATTCATTCAGTTTGTATCATTTAATTATCATATCAGGAATGAATAAAAATGAATAAAGCTATTATAAAATAAATTACCATTACTATCTCTTTGTGACTTTGCCTTGTCTTATTTTAGAGATTTGTTTTTGATATTTTAATATTTGTCTCAAATGGAAAGTGCAGTGCACCGTATACAAATTATATATACAAACAGTAATGGGAGAAAATTATTATTGTTCATTAATTTATATTGCTTCCAGATTGGTGTAACAGAGCGAAATATCAAACAAAATAATTATATATGCCGTCATAAAAAGATATTAGCTATGGAAAGATATATTATTAACTTGGACCTCATTTTCTGAATTTTTTGGTTCACTAATTTTTATATATTGCGTTATAAATGTTACTGAAGAAAAAAAAAGTCAAGTAATGAGATATGTAGCAAACATACTTAAAAATTATCTACCCACATCACTGGTATAGTCCTACAAAGAAATAATACTTCAATGGCTGTGATTAGTATTGAGCAAAATATTTTCAATCCATATTGCCTCTGATTTACCAGATTCTTTCCATGATCCATAAAATGTTACCAAGAAGTACACTTTCCTATTAGACTTTTTTTTTCTTACTGGAGAAGCAAAGCAAAGGCTCATTATTTAGTTTCCCAAACCCTGCTTCCATTTTGGCCTGGATGCCCAGGGCAAATTTGCTCACCTAAATAATTTTGATACGTTTTGTTTAATATTGTTACCTCAAGGAACCTGAGATGATCAGCCAAGCAGGCTGGTCAAACAATTATTTTCAAAAACATGCAAACAGAAAAAATAGCTTATCATGAGCAAAGAAAATAGTCTTTCACTTGTTGTTACTACAAAAAAACATATGGCTCACCACCCACATAAACCTTATCCCATGCAGGGTTAAAGTCCCTGACTGGCTTCACGCATCTCAAAGGCCAGGTCTACAGCAGCTTAATCAGCTCAGGCACAAGCAATCCACCACTTTTGCTCTTAAAGTGTGTATTGCTTCACACTCCCTCACCCACAGGTGTTTGCTCTTTCCTGATCCTTTTCTGTATTCACATGTAGACGGCTTATCCCTAATCAGGATTTACCAATCCAGAAAAATCAGTCCTCTCCTACCGGACTCACCCAGAACCCCTCACCTTGCATTATACTTAACAATGTCTTCAAAAAGTCCCCCTTAAAGGAGCACAACCCAAAGAGTTGGGAAATACAGGTACCTATATATCATGTACAGGACATCAGGGATAGGTCATGGACAGCAAAGCTTTTATTTGATACAATGTTTTCATAATCCCTTGCAAATCTGTTCTAATATAAACTGTTCAATGTACAAAAATAATATATTAAATAAAGCATTTTACACTTATTGGCTTATAATATATTTTTAAACTTTTTTTTTAAAACAATTACTTTTTTTTACTTGCACTTTAACAGTCAATTGTGATTGTGTCTCCTTCTGTGCAAAACAGAGCTACAGCTTAATGGGCTTTTCTGTTTTCTCAACCATCCCATAAAATTGAGTGTAATAGTAATATCATGATGGTGAACCATATTGTTTGCCAATCACTAGTCTGCCAGTGCAGCTGTCAGTGTGGGCATGAACTAGCAGCAAGAATGGGTGCTCACTTCTAGTTCTCCCTTAGGACTGTCATGCTTATCCATAATGCAGGTGGTCAGACACTATAGCTAGCTTTTGTGTTCCTCACCTATAGCAGCCCCCTTTTCCATAAAGCAATACTATAGTGCCTAGCTACCACACTGGGGCAGGTGCAAACTGAGCACAGAATACAGGTATTTGCAGTTGGCAGACAGGCACAGTGGTTCAACAACAGTCTAGGTACAAGGCAGGCAAGGTTCAGAGAAGTCAGGGTTCAATCTGTAATCAAACGGCAGGCGGAGTTCAGAGAGTATTAGATATCCAATCCAAGGTCATAAACAGGGGAATCCAAACAAAAGAGCAGGACAGACAGACAGGGAGCTTCAGCACATATTACACACACTATCACAAGCATGAGACTGCAGGCTTGGCTGGCTTAAATCAGATTTGGTCTCCACCCAGGGATTGGCCACATCGACCGCTTTGCTAGTGAACAGACAGGGAGAATGTATCACAGCCAAAACCAGGATGCTGGAATGAGACTAGCAGCTGTGATGGAGAAGGAGCACTAGACACTCCTGACATTACCCCCCCTGAGGAGGGGCCCCCAGACACTTAAAGGCATGCTGGACATCAGGAACCAGAGCATCAGGCTGAACATCTGGCACAGGACCATCAGGCTGGGCAATGGTCAGGGGATGTCACGACCTGGTTCACCTGCTGGTGGCACTGTGCTTTCCTGGGGGGAAGGCTTCAGTTTTTTTGTCCACCAGCAGGTGTCTCCCAACAGTCAACATGTTCCAGCAATCAGCTCCACCTGGCCACACCTGCTGGGAGGGTACTGAAGTTCCACCTCTGCTATTTCTCCTTGCGTCAGTGCTTTGGCTGCTCCTGCCTAAAACCCTGTTTGTTGTGCTGCTGTCAGACTCTTTTACCATTAACTTTTGATCCTGATCCTGCTACCTTGCTCCTTTCCAATTTTTTTTTTCCCTCCTTCCCATCTGCTCCCCTCATTTTCCCCTGCCTTGCATGTTTCATTTGTGTATATATACTGTATAACTGTTGGTTAGGTTTTCTGCTTTTTGGTTGTTCTGTTTTTATTTTCATGTGTTCTCATGTTTATTGCGGTTTATGTGTTTATTGTTCACTGTATATAAATCTCACTTCAAAGATATATACACATGATCTGGTTCCAGTTTGTGTGTGTAGCTACATAAAAACTATATTGCCAAAAGTATTGGAGCACCTGCACATGAACTGTAATGGTATCCCAGTCAGTCTTATAGGTTTCAATATTGAGTTGGCCCACCCTTTGCAGCTATAATAGCTTCATCTCTTTGGGAAGGCTCTCCACAAGGTTTAGGAGTGTGCCTATGGGAATGTTTGACCATTCTCCTAGAAGTGTATTTATGAGGTCAGGCTCTAATTCATCGCAAAGGTGTTCTATCGGGTTGCGTTAAGGACTCTGTGCAGGCCAGTCAGATTTCTCTACCCCACAATTTGCTCATCCATGTCTTTATGGACCTTGCTTTGTGCACTGGTGTGCAGTCATGTTGGAACAGGAAGGGGCTATTCCCAAACTGTTCCCACAAAGTTTGGAACATTAAATTGTCCAAAATGTCTTGGTATGCTGATGCCTTAAGAGTTCACGTCACTGGAACTAAGGGGTCAAGCCCAACCCCTGAAAAGCAGCCCCACACCACAATCCCCCTCCACCAAACTTTACAATTGACACAATGCAGTCAGGCAATTACCATTCTTCTGGCAACCATCAAACCCAGACACATCCATTGGCTTGCCAGGCAGAGAAGTGTGATTTATCACTCCAGAGAACATGTCTCCACTGCTCTAGAGTTCAGCACTTTACACCACTGCATACGACACTTTGCATTGTACTTGGTGATGCAGCTGCTCGGCCATGGAAACCCATTCAATGAATCTCTCTACACACTGGTTCTGCTAATCTGAAGGCCACATGAAGCTTGGAGGTCTTTAGCTATTGACTCTGCAGACAGTAGGCAACTTCCATGCACTGTGCGTTTCAGTATGTACTGACCCCGCTCTGTCATTTTACAAGGCCTACCACTTGATGACTGAGTTGCTGTTGTTCCCAGTTGCTTTCTATTTGTTATAATATCATGAACAGTTGACCGTGGAATATTTAGGAGCAAGGAAATTTCATGGATGGACTTATTGCACTGAGCTCCGACCCATTCTTTCACAAATGTTTGTAAAAGCAGTTTTCATGCCTAGGTGCTTGATTTTATACACCTGTGGCCATGGAGGTAATTGGAACACCTGAATCCAGTGATTTGGAGGGTTGTCCTTATACTTTTGGCAATAGTGCATCTGGTCATCCCATCTGCTGATTCCTGACATAACACTGACGCCCTAAAGACCAGATCACCTACACCCAGGAACTGGGAGCTATTTCCTTTAAGTCAAGATTCTTGAAATGCAGGTTATTTGTTGGGTGCAGCTGAAGATGAAGATTTTTGTTGCTCATTTTGGCGGAACCTCACTGATGAGGAATTGTTGGAACGCATTCTGACAGCATATGTTTTGGTTGATGAGGGCAGTTTCTCACTTAGTAAAATACAGCCTTCAGTGCGGGCCTGTTCTAACTTGTTACTTCAGATTACCTCTCAGGGCCATGATGTTTTCAATCCTCCTTTTACTATGTTTCAGGCTGGATTTTTGGTCTGGCTGCTAAGCATTGTACAGGTTCTTTTCTTCAGCAGTATTAAGCCTATTCACAACAGATGCTGTTAGATTGTATTAATGCTATGCACTTTTTAATTGAGCAAGGGAAAGACAAACTGACCTTAAGCCAGAAATACATGGGTCAAATTCACAAACCTTTTCTAAGAAATTTTCTCTCGCATTTTGCACCATTAGTGGGTCACAGCAACAGCTGATTTTCAAGCGACCATTGAATTTGAGTGATTGGGCATGTTGGAAATTTTTTGAATAATGAACAAATCAATGATGGGAGGATTTGTGTGAGAAATGAAATCAAAAAAGAAATGAGCATGAGCTTTGACCTGGAAAGAAAAGAAAAATTCTTGGCCACGAAAATTCTTTTCTGTAGCAACATGAGGTGAAATTAAAGGCTTGGTTGGTTGAATTTCGAAATCAATGGTGGCACCATCATATTAAAAAAAAGCACAAAATGTCTGATTTTCTAAAGAAAATTTGTTCAGAATTCGACCCATGTATTGTTGTCTTAAAATGACCTGCATTAGTTCAGCCTCTGCTACAAGCCTGGTCAGCCACTGCTGCCTCAACTGTTATTCAGTCAGTTCCAGATTCCATCCTGAATGCTGATGGGGTTTATTGCTCTTCCATGCCCCCTGCTGATGGGGTCCATTCCTCCTCTATGCTGCCTGCTGGAGAGGGCCATTCCTCCTTCAAGCTGCCTGCGGATGGGGTTCATTCCTCCTCCATGCTGCCTGCCGATGGGGTCCATTCCTCCTCCATGCCACCTGCTGATGGGGTCCATTCCTCCTCCATGCTTATCGATGGGGTTCAGCCTGCCTCTATGCTGCCTGGTGATGGGGTGCAGCCTACTGCTGGTGACCTGCTGTCTGCTGCTCAGCCAGACTATGCTGGTTCCCCGACCCCTGCCCAGCTGGACTATGCTGGTTCCCAGGCCCCTCTCCAGCCAGACTGTGTGATTCACTGCCTGCTGCTCAGCCAGTCTTTGTTGTCTGGATTTGGCTCCTACTTGCTGATGTGTCTGAGGCTACTGATTTTCCATTGTCATGTAGCTTAAATGGGTTGTCTGTTTGGTTAATGATCCCTACTGTTGCCTGTCCTGAGTTCGTTTCGCAGCCAGTTGATCCTGTTGTGCCAAGGCCAGCAGGTCCAGATATCCACTCTGAACAGAGCTGCTTCTGCTATTATAGGCCCAGTAGTAGAGGTCCTCTGGAGAAGGGCAAAGTTCCAAATGAACCCTGTCCTGACCCAGGTGTTTTCTCTGTGATCCCTGATGCATTTGGGGACCCAGGTTTGAGTATCCGGTACATTAGGTAGACCTGACTGGCAGGTATACCGTGGACAATGAGATAAAATTCTGGCACAAAGAGGTTAAAATGGCGTCTGCACACAAGCAATAATACAGATGAAAACAATCCCTTTAAAGTCCATATATATATATATATATATATATATATATATACACATAAAAAGGTATATGAATCCTTTGTATGCTTGGAAATCATAAAGTGGCTGCCATCTTGCAGAATAAGCCAGTTCTGTGCATAAGAACAAGAAAGAGAGAAAGGAGGCACCACTAAGTGCAGTATTATGTAGACTTTAATATAACACAGTTAAAAAATGCACTCACAGGAGTAGGTAAATGATAGTCACATCTGCATATCTAAAAGAGGGGGATCTCTCCTCTCCATCTCTGTAGGTACTTGCATCTGACTTTTTCCCACTGGCAGTTCCTGCAGAATGGAGAGGAGAGACCTCCCTCAAGATGGTACTTGAAGCCATGGGAGTTTATCAAGTGAGCAAGGGAGGAGGTGTAGGCGAAGAAGAGAAGCAGTCCAAGGACAGAACTTGCGGGACCCCTACAGAAAAAGGTAGTGGAGAGGAGGAGACAGAGTTATAGGTAACAAAAGGAGTGCTGCGATAGGTAGAAGGAGAACCAGGACAGAACAGAGTCTCAGAGGCCAGGAGAGTGGAGTTTTTTTTTGAGGAGGAGGGGATGGTCAATGTTGTCTTATATTGGAGGACGGATGACCAGTGTATATTTATAAATGTACTTTCCCGCAGCAACTAGTCCAACAGTTCTTTTCCAGAGAGATGCATTTAATCAGTTCAGTGACAGTTCATAAGACAGAGGTACAGACAAGGCAGACAACAGGATACTTATAATATTCACGCAATCATTATAAACCTTCAGAGAATCCCTTTCTCCTGTCACCCTTATCAAAAGAAAACTTCCCTAATAAGCACATTCTCCCAATTCAGTATAATGACAGGCACTCTGATTGGCCACTTTTAGGAGTCCCTTTTATCTTCTGGGTGACAGGTAATGCCTTTTTGGCTTGGACAGCTGCATTCATAATTCTAATCAAAGTCGTCCAGATATTTTCTAAACTACATTCTTTTACTATTAATTAAACAAGAATGCTATTTACCATACTTAATACCCCTTTTCATGTTATTACATAGTAGAGAGTAGTCCTTTCAAGTCTGAGTGAGCTATCTGCATTTTATCACCCTTGCAAGTTTGCAAATTACCTCTATTGAATTGTAACAAGTTGGTTCTAGAGTGCCAAGGTGATCTTGCATAAAATTAACATAGCAAAGAGTCCTTGGCTATGCTTTTCTTGTGTAAAATGCATCTAGCTCAGTTCTATTCTGGCCTGGTCAATAACGTGAGAATACACCACACACACAGTATATATATATAATTACAATATACAATATCCCTGCAGTCAAGAGTAACAAAAGTCACAGAGAGGTCAAGTAGTAAGAGAATGGAGTAGTGGCCATTGGTTTTAGCAGTAAGTAAATCATTAGTGAGTTTTAGTAGGGCGGTTTCAGTGGAGTATAGTGAGTAAAAGCTAAACTGTAAAGTATCAAGAAGGTTGTTGTCAGTGAGGTAGGAGCTCAGGAGATTGCAGACTAGGCGTTCTAAGAGTTTGGAGGTAAACGGGAGTAGGGAGGTGGGTCTTAAATTGTTCAGGTTTGTGAAGTCCAGTGAAGGATTTTTAAATATGGGAGTGATCTGTGCGTGCTTTAGAGGGGAAGGGAGGAGAAGGTGCCAATAGAGAGGGAGAGATTGAAGATGTGAGTGAGGGAGCATAAGATAGAAGAAGAGGTTCACCATAGTAGTTGTGAGGGAACAGGATCCAGGGGGCAGGTGGTGAGATGGGCTTCTGAGAAAACTTTAGTGACCTTTCAGTAGTAGCAAGGCCAAAAGAGGAAAGTGTTGAGGGAGGTTTAGTATAATGTATGCTAAGTGGGATGGATGTATGTGCAGTGGAGATGCCCTTATGAATTGCATCAATCTTGTTTTTGAAATGATTGGCAATCTCGTAAGCAGTGAGATTGCCAATCACTGGGTGCAGGTGGTGCTGGAGAAAGTAGAGAGTTAAAGGAAGAGAAGAGACAACAAGGACTGTGTTACAAGGTATTAATAAGAGTGACAAAATAGGCTTGTTTGACAGCATGGAGGGAGGAATTGTATTTTAAGAAAGCAGATTTATATAGGGTGAATGCTTGCTGGGATTTGGTTTTACTCCACAATTGCTCCAGTGCATGGCTATGTCTCTTAAGATTTCTTGTGTTGTCAGTCTGCCACGGTTGTAATGGTCGGAGCCTGATACTTCGTGTAGTTAGATTAGCAAGTGAGTCCAGTGTGGATGAAAGCGAACTGTTGTATACAGAAGTCACCAGGTCAGGACAGGACAGGGGAGTGATTCTATCATAGAGGTGGTCAGTTGCAGAGTATAAAAGTATGCAGAGTATTTCTGTGGGTAATTGTTTGCTGTTTGGAGGGATAGGTGTTTGAAGATGAAAACACTGTGAAGGTGATGAGGTTGTGATCAGACAGAGGAAAGCCATTGTT